AATAGCAACACCCGTAATGCTTCAGCATTAAAACACCAGACTGTAAATATAAGGAAAACACAGACACTCATCACCGAGGTCACAATATCAATGGATCCAGCCGAGCAGCCTATAGGCAAAACACAGAAGATCAACAAAAGATATGAGATAACACGAACTCACCAAAGCTGAAGTAGACGGTCGACTTCATTCATTTAATTTCAGTTTTACTGATTTGAATCGCTATAGGCTGCTCTCTCTCGTCTCCTCTTCATATCTACACTTTTCGCGGCACACGTATTTACAGCCAATCAGCTCTCTGAATTATAAGATGATGTTTTGGTGGGGTTGCCAGCACTTTGCCCAACTTGTGATAATTAGAGAGAGGGACTAGATCGGGGCTTGCCCCACATCGCTCTACACAGCTCAAGGCACACTGTATATGTGTGTGTGTGCTTTTGTGTGTGTGTGTGTGTGTGTGTGTGTGTGTGTGTGTGTGTGTGAGAGAGAGAGTGAGATGGTCGAGAGATGCAGGTAGACAGAGAGGGAATGAAGGGTTTCTTATCCTCTCAGCAGAAGTCATAATGTCTTAGAGCGTGCACAGAGTGTACGCTCTAAGACACTAATCAGAAGAACGCAGACTAAAGCAGCAACGTATCAGAATCAGACGAATAAATATGATCTTAAAATATATTTTAAGATATATATTTTTTGCATAATTTGGGAATTATTATTTGAATTACTTTCTGCTGACACTAGGTTCACCTAGGGTCAGCTGCCCCTAACGACCGGTCGCCACTGGCTCTAGGCCACTTCTCACTTGAGACTGACAGGAAGCGTTTAGTTTCACACGACTTCCTGATTTGGCTGTTTAAGCTTGAAGGTTTCCTCTCTTCTCGTTCGAGGTTCAGCCTGAGGATGTGGCAGCAGCAGACCTTCTTTATTCTCTGGGGGTTCATCACTGGTACGAGCATTTCTCCTTTTACTCGGCCCAATTAGAAGTAGTTTGAGTAGTTAACAAAAGTTAAAGAGTTGAAGATGAACTGAGTTTAAAAAAAAGCTAGGCAACAGAACATAGTGCAGGTTTTAGGGTTTCTGTAACAAATGGAAATGTCCCCGCTGTGGGTAGAATAAAAAAAAAGACTTAAGGGTAAATAGAAGTTAAACAAACTTCCATGTTGATTGCCATCTTTGGCCATTGTAATCCAGCACCATCAGGTACAATCCCATTATGAATGCAAAGTCTCTTCACAAATATAAAACAACTATATTTAAAAAGCATTCTGATGAAGGAAGACATATGTTGTTTTTCTGGTGATGGCGTTAAATGGACATGACTTCTTTCTGCAGGAAGTGTCCTAGTCTCCCAACCCAGACCTCTAGAGGGTTCATCTCAACGGACTAACCCCTTCAAATAAACCTTAATCAACGATAAGTCAGAGAGCTATCCACAAACCCACTCATCTGGATGTGATCTTCCTCTTCAGGGTCTCTCTCGGTCTCTTGGGACATGGCGGTGTCTCCGGTGGTCTTTGTCCCCAGAGGAGAAGACGTGGTCCTCCCCTGCTCCTTCACTCATCCCCGACAGCAGCACTACTCCGGGATGATCACCGTGAAATGGCTGGCGAGACAATCAAACGCCCCCCCGTTCTTCATCTGCTCAGTTAGAAACGAGTCCATGGAGGGAAAACGCGGCTGTGCAGAGTCTCAGTTAAAATATTCTACGTACGGTGACCTTCGTCGGGGGGAGCTGTCCCTCCTCATCAGAAGGGTCCAACTGGGTGATAACGGCACATTCTTCTGCAGGGTGGAGATGGAGGGTTTGCTGCAACATTTCCAAAAAGAGACGCAGCTCTATGTGACAGGTGAGGACTGAGCGATCAACTCAGAGCTGCTGAGATCCCAGCATGGCAACAACATA